CGCACACCAAGACTAAAAAATATACAATTGTCAGTCATTATCTTTTTTTTTTTTTATGTAGAACTTATTTTCTGAAAATATATGCGAATACCTTTTTTTACATATGAAGGGTGACTGGGGACGGTCGATCCCTATCTATTCTTTAATCTCTAATTTTAATAATGTAGGGAAATAAATAAATCATTATATACCAGTCGAGATAGATCTAACATAAAAGTACTTTTATGTAACAGTTCACGTGCTTACTATTTTAAAGTTTTATGAAATAAAACCTTGTTGTGATATCCCAGGGATCCTTGTAGTTGTCTCGGGTTTTCTAAGCAGAGAGACTATTTTTGCAAGAGTCTACTCGTTCTTTTTGCATAAAAATATAAGTTTTTTTTATTTGTTTTGTGAAAAAAATAGTCAATGATTAAATACGATTGCTTATGAACACTCATACTTGACAATAAAAAGCGTCCTCGTTTTATATTCAAAGTTGGCTTAAAAAGTTGAATCGTTCAAAAATTTGAAAATGTGTAGCCCGCATGTTACCGAAAATTTAAGACAAAAAATGATTTTAAGCACATTAGTTATTTTTATTTTTTGTCAAGTTTTATATTTTTGTAAACTAAAAAATGAAACAATAAAAGTTGTATTCATAGAATGGCTTACTACCGCCAACTTTTATAACTTCATTGTAGGTGGTAATTTAACATACAAAAATTTTATAATGCAAAAAAAAGTTAACCATCACTTTTAATAGATTACCGTGGATTTATCGGATTGTCAAAAAAATGATTTTTCAGTAGTAGTAAAAGTTACAATTATCAAAAAATGATGGAATATCATTATATATTGGGGGAATTTGTTCCTTTTTCAGAAAATATTAAACTTTTTTTCCTAAAACACGAAATTCCCAAAATAACCCAAAAAGCCCTCTTGTTACCTTTTGCTACTTGCGCATGCATATATATCTTACTACAGCTCACATATTACAATTTTAATAAAATTTTTTGTTAAATAGACATTTACTTAATATAATTTCATTTAAATAAATTTCAAAACATATCGGCTTTAACTTTTGTCTCACTAAAAACAACATTTTAAATTTTCACGGCTTACTAGCCGTTCATAGAGATTATAGTAGTAGTAGTAGTAGTAGTAGTAGTAGTAGTAGTAGTAGTAGTAGTAGTAGTAGTAGTAGTATTATTATTATTATTATTATTATTAGTAGTAGTAGTAGCAGTAGTAGTAGTAGTAGTAGTAGTAGTAGTAGTAGTAGTAGTAGTAGTAGTAGTAGTAGTAGTAGTAGTAGTAGTAGTAGTAGTAGTAGTAGTAGTAGTAGTAGCTTTTCATATATTTTCCATATATGATTCTTTAAAGTTTTTCTGTATTTCATGCATTATCTGAATGTCCATACTTTTATATGTTTCTTGTGGTTTAAGCATTATTTACTCAAATTCTTCATCAATTTTTTGAATTTTGAATGTTTTTTTAATAAGTATTTCTTTTACACACATATTTTGAATGTGTATTTTTGTAAGCTCTTCCTCGATTTTATGTGCACTTTCATTGTCTACTTTATCTTATTCATCTGTTTCAAGTATTTTTTCTATACATATTTCTATAGGGTCTATTTGTACTTCATAGTTTTTTTGCATGTGATCTTTGAGTTTTATCTGTATTTCCAAAATTTTTCCGTTTAAAAGCTAAATATATTCAACCTGAAATAAATTCATAAACTAACCGTAATTAGTAGATAATATGAAAACATACATTTTGTATTAACAGTCATCTTAAAATTGTTGCATAGATAATAATTTGGTAGATAATTAAATAATTTAGATAATTAGAAACAATATAGTTTTTATAATTTTGTGCAACAAGAAAAAACTATTTTATTAAACATTTCATTTAATAACATTTATGAACATTACAACAAATATCACTAAAAAATACCTTGCTTCTTGCATTAATATATGCTGCAACTTCCGCTTCATTTATATAGACTTTAAGATTTTCAATGTAATTGTCTTTATTATTTAGAAAATCAGTTTTTAATGTGATTTTAATTGATGATTCTCTAACAGATATTATAAAATAAAAACAAATTACATTTATAAAAAAAGGACAGTTCTAAATAACTTCACAAAGTCACATATAAATTAAATAAACATAATCCATAGTTAGATTAGTGGCAAAAGATCGCTTTTAAAAGAATCTCAAGCAATATTAGTGTAAATGCGTGTTGTCATTTTTTCAAACTAGCAACATATTCTAGATAAAAAGATTTTTTATTTGAAAAAAAAACTTACAGCAGTATTTTGGAATCAAAAAGAAAACTCAAAGAAAGACAAGCTTAAAAGCAGTACATCAATACAAATTACAAAAAAATTTATAAAAAAAAAGAAAATAATAATAATACAGTTTATCTGAAAGTTCATTCCGTTGATTTTCTGTAACTTTTTTATGCCAATCTTCAATGTCATTATTGTTTAAAGCTGCGTTGCTCAACTCTCTAATCAAAAAATAACGACATTAGTAATAGAAAAAAAAAAAGAAATTATTTTATTTTGAAAATTTAAATAACATACAAGGTATGTTTAAAGTTTTTGTAAAAGATAATGTAACAATGGAAACCACAAAAAATTAAAAGTAGTTTTAAATGAATAAAATAAATTCAAAAGCAGATGAAGGAGTATTCTCAAATCAATAGCAGATCAATTATATGTATCACATATAACTTGAATAAAATGCCAAAATTTTGTGAGAAATATATAGTTCAAGAGTAGACAAAAATAACTTCATCATATATATTGTTTTTACTATCTATTTTTATACTATCAATTTTAGAGGTTTTGTATTGAAGCAATATTTTTAATTATTTTTTAAATTATTTTTTAAGTTTAACATTAAATAAAAACTAATGCAAATGCATTAAAAACCAGGATTTTTTTTAATTTTTGACATTTTTTAAAACTGTGAGAGTTCAAAAAATTTAGTAGTTCTAAACGTTATATGGTCATATCAAGCATCAAAATATAATGAAATTTTAAATCTATATAAATCTAATGATTTAAAGTAAAGGTGTTTTTTGAGAGTATATTTGTGTCAGTTTTCAAATCACCAAAAATACCAATATTGGTATGTGCTTCAAAAGTTTTTTACCTAAAGGCTAGTTCAAAAAGTTTAAAGAAATTATATTAAAAGAATGACAAAAATATATCAAAAGATTAACAAAAAAACAACAAAAGATTGACAACAATATGTCAAAAGAAGACAAAAATGTCAAAAGACTGACAAATTAGTCTTAAATATTAAATTATTTGATTTTTTAAAATCATTTCAATTTTAAAATTATGAAGCAATTTAATTATAACTTTATAATTAAAATAATTCGTCAGATCTTTGATTTTAACTAAAAAAAATATACAGAAACAACTGAACCAATCAATTTTTTTTCAAAATGATCAAAAAACAAGATTTTATTCAGAAAATAGGATATAGATATGTTTCAGTAATGTCATTAAAAACAAAAAATCTATCTTTGGAAAAGACTGGTTCCTTAATTCAACCAGTAAAAAAAAACATTGAAATTGATACGACCAGTAAAAAACCATTAAAAACTAATACATAAAAGTAGGGTTATTGATAAAGCTATAGAGATTTTGTCATCTAATGGTAAAGAATATAAAAAAAAAGATAACAACTGGTTTTTGAGCTATTTTCTGCCTAGAGCAGGATGCTTGAAAAAGTTGTATATGATTTTGTGAACTTGAACCTAAAAAAGTAAAAAACATTTATAAACAATCATTTTGCACAGATTGCTGTCTAATACCTAGTTCTGCAATTTTGCACCCTTACAATAAACAAAAAAACTGTTCAAAATCTTTATTATCAAATTAATCAAAGAAATGGTAAAGTTATTTGTTGTGCTATAAACAAAATATTTGTTGTTGGTGACAGTCCAAACATAAAACTTGAAACTGGAGGTTTTTCAAATTTTAAACTTTTTCAACAGTCTTTCTGTTAAAGTATAAAAAAAACAATAACCAATAAGCAGATAAGAAGTGAAACTGTATTGAACTTGAAAGTAAATAATAATCTTCCTGATTGATGGGGGTATTTGGAATGATGATGGAGATAAAGAAAATTTTTAGAAGATTGTAAATATACCAGCTTAATGTTAACATTAATGTAAACACCTACCTTAATGTTACAGGTCACATTGCTTAGTTATATACACTATAGATGTAAGTAAATAAAGTGTGTTCCTCATCATTTTACACACAGTGGAAAAAAAGAATGACGAAGGTGCTCCTAAGACTTTTAAGTCACTAGCAAATTATGAGGTAGTGGTGTAGTGGTAGAGCGCTCGCTTCATAAACGAGTGGTTCTGAGTTCGATCCCCACCACGTCCCTGGTAGTACCGCGCTCAACTCGTTTCTCCGCGCAGCGGCCTTGTTCGTCAAGGTTCGTGTTTCAGAGTTATAGAGTTGAGAGAGGGTTATAGCCACAAAATAAGTAGCCTCCTCGTTTGTAGTGGCCTTCTCGGCCTTAAGGAGGTGAAGTAAAATAAAAAAAATAAAAAAATAAAAATCAATTCAGAGTATCAAAATAGCAAAATACTTTGAATACTGTGAACTTTTGTAACAAGTTTGAGATAGCATCCTTAATTTCACAAGAACTTAATTAAAAAAATATTTTAATTAACAAGCAAAATTATGCTGATTGATATGAATAGAAACAGATTGAAAGAATATATTTATAGAGGGGTTCATAAGTTCCTCTTAACTTTAGAAAAGTAAACTTAAATATCAAAAATGTATAGTAGTATGTAGTATTTATATATTTCATTTTATTAACTCATATTTTAATTTTTTATAATTTTTAATAATTGATATACTTTGAAACAATAAACAGATGATTAACTTCTTGTGACTTCTAGCATAATTATATTTTAATTATCATAATTAATAGTAATAAAAATACATAGAATAAAATTACAAATATAAAATTTGTAAAATATTTTTTTCTTTTTTAAGGTGTCAAAATATTCAGAACTGTTTTTAATATTACAAACCTCAAAAAATAATTTTTTTGGACATCTAATTGAAATAATGAAGAGTACTAAAGTTACCTAAATTATTAGCATTAGTAAACAGCAGTATTTTTTGGTATGATTAGGTACGCGGAAATATCCGTTTTACGGAACCGAATATTGTGCTAAAAAACTGTGCCACGCTTTTTAGATTTGTTTTTAGCTAGCGTAGGGAAGACGTGTTTAGTTAAAAAACCTTTTAGAATTTGATATCAATATAGATTATTTTTAGAAACTAGAATAGTTAAACTTTATTACTGTGAGGTTTATTATTTTACTAGATGACTTTTTTATGGAGTTTTTTGATGTCTAAAACTTTGTTGTACTTTGGGAATGAAATTAATGTCGAAGATATGCTCATTTTTTTTTTCTATACTATTCTTTTTTTTAAGTTTTTCATTTATCTATGCACCTGGAAAATTTCATTGAAAAAAAAGTTGTAGCAGGGTGTCTATTTTTTGTCGCACTTTTGGTACCTAATTTTCACTTTGCTGAAGTGGTCGCGGGAGACAGAGGGGTTAAATAAACATTGCTTATATTTGCTTTTAATTAAATAAAATTTTCATTTTTTTTTTTAGATTAAATAAAATGGAAAGTAGAGATATTGATAAAAGTTTTTAATATTGTTTCCTATTTATTAAATTATTTATAAATTATTTGCCTTCAATGTAAAGTTGTTATGTTTCCTACTTTAAAGTTAAATTTTTTAAAAATGTAACTGACATTTGTAATATTATAACATATTTTATCTTACATTGTAAGTCTCTCCAATAACAATTGCAATATGCTACTACTTGTTGTATCATGCATCTTTTTCTAAAAAAGTCTAGGTAAAAACTAGACTTTTTTTTTAATGATTAACTGTTAATCTTCCTACTGTAATAAATAGTATTTATATTATTTATTACAGTTGATACAGATATAATATAGTCATATATAACTAATATATGTTAGCAACCTTATTCAACTTTTATGTATAATATATATATATATATATATATATATATATATATATATATATATATATATATATATATATATATATATATATATATATATATATATATATATATATATATATATATATATATATTTACTGATATATATCAGTTAGTTATTTTACACATTCAATATTCATTAGTTTTTTTTAACTTAAGATCAATAGATTTCGTCTAGACAAATGCTTTTATTTTTTTGTTAAAAAAAGTTTTTCATTTGTTTTTAAGATGATGCTTTTAAGAGGTTAAGTCAGTTTTTTTTTTGCGATTTATTATTTTAGTAATTAGTCTTTTACTCTCAATATTCTATTATATATCTTTATTATGCTATGTTTTTTGTGCAGATTTTTGAGCATCCACAAATTTTTTTTAAAGTTGTTTATTTATATATTTCTGATTGTTTCATGCTTTTTATTGAATCATTGTTATGTTTTTTCTACAGGCAATTTAGAACAAATTATAAGTAAGTAAAGTTTGAAATATTTTAGTTATTTAGTCATTTAAACTTTTTTTTTTGTAATGTTAGTGTTATAAATTAATCTTATAATAAAGTAAGTAATTTAAAGTTGGCTTTTAGGTGAATTTAGACTGCAGATTTGTAATTTTAGTAAATTTTAATAATTTCAATAGTATAGTTTAATGGTACATGCTAACTAAAGATTATTACTGAATTGATACACAAGCTAAAGGTTTTTAATTTATTGATACACACTAACTAAAGATGTTGTAGGGAAAATTGTAACTTGAGATTAAGTTTATGTTAGTAAACATTATATTACTATTGTTATTACTTATTTCTTTTTAATTCTTTAGCAACACTTACTTCATTAATTAGTAAGAGATTAATGTGTATTTTTATGTGTATGTATTGAGAAATATAGTCTGATTTTGTGGATTATGCAGTATTATACTATTTAATATGTACTATGTTATTGTATATTTAATATGTACTATATATGTATATTTAATATGTAATATTTACATGTACCATTTAATCTTTTGTGTCATTGTATTATTTAATCTTTAATATCCTTGTCATCTGTTGCAGCTGGTAAGGTTTCTATATTATTAATTTGAGAGATAAAGTAATTATATGCAAGTTCATGTAACGCGTATAAATAGAGTTAGCAATCGATTGCATCAGGCTAAAATTAGAGCCAATATTTCCCAAAGACAGGCATCCAAGTGCCAAAAAACCGATGAAAAAGAAAAAAGTTAGAGCAAAAAAAGTTAGAGCGTTAGCTATCCAAATTGAGTTATGATGAAATTATAGGTTCATACAAAAATTTGTCTATGACCAACTTTATAATTTAGAAGATGTCATGTATTAAAGAATTTTAGGCAAAAAACTATATCATGAATGATATGATCCTAAACATCCAAGCCTGTTTTGTATAATGGCAGAGTAGAAAAAGTATT